TGGGTGCCTTTACAAAATTATGCAGTACCAAAAAACAAATAGTAATGTAATTACCTTAGAGATTTCAACTTCAGGAATGGCATTTCTATTAAGTTTTTTTTTATCATAATCAATAAATGCAGAATCCCTAAAATGTTTATTACACAACATTCTGTGTTCAGCATATATTTTTTTTTGGAAATCCTCAGAATGCCACTCATCACTAGGAAAGCAAAATTTGGCCCATGTTTCACACCTGAAAATAAATAGATGAACTTGTTTTTACTTCAATATATATTAAATGCAACAGTTTCAATATGCAACTTGTGAACAAACTCTTCATTAGAAAGTATTTTCTATTATTCAAGCTTAAAACATATTTTCTGTTGCAGGACTTCAAAAATTATTTTTTTTTGCTAACTCACCGCAATATGTTTGTTGGTCCAGGATTAGGAAACCTATATAGTTTTATGTCTGGATTCTCCTTCGGTGACCGTCCACATTTCAGACACTTTCGTCTTATATTATCTGCCATAATAATACTTCACTATTATTACGAAAAAACAACACAAAAGAGTCAACTGTCTCACAAAATTGAATGTCTTTTAAACAGCAAACACAGCTCTAATACTAGTGGAGAAGCAAGGGCTCAACTCAACACAAATATTGGGTAAAACAGCAAAAACGCTGAATAGATAAATATCCGAAACGTACTTTATTTACGAACGGGGAACAACGAAAACAAAAACAAACGACATTTTTTCAACTTCAGATTTTTGACAAAACCAACGTGTTGCCATTGTGTAAGCTAAAATCATACTACTATACAATTTAGTATCATGACAATTATAAAGATAATTTAATGTTACATAATAAAAAATATCTTAACTGATTAAAGTTATATTTTGTGATAAAACTCATGGTACATTATTGTTAATTTTGCTCTAAATGGAAAAAAATTGTCACTTCTACAGATACAATTAAACTTCTAATATAGGTGTAATTTGGATCTAGCAACACATCCCAATCCCCAATAGGTATGTCACCTAATGCTCATACAAAGTTGACCCCCCTGCTCTACAGGGACAGCCAAGTGACTTAATGATTGATTAATTTAATTTTCATTTTACATTAGGGATGTTCAAATATCGTCGATATATCGAAAGTACTCGATGTTTCCATACGATATATCGGATTGTTTCGATGTTTTGAAAAATATTTTTCTATTCGATATATCGAATATCGATACATTTATAACATAATATCGAATCGATTAAATAACGTCGACAGCTGACTCATGATAACAATAAAAGCTAAAGTAAATTTTAACATTACAACATTTTCAATTTGATTTTTATAACATGACATCAAATTTTCAGATTTTCAGAGGACGAGTTGTACTCGGCAGCTAAGTTTTGCCAAGCCAATTGCTAATCTTTTGTTGTAGCCCCATCTGTTTTCTTGTTTTCTATAATAAGATATTTCTCCACTAATTTTAAAAGGTGCATTTTTTCAACAATTGTGAAATTAGGTGCCCTGGATCTCTTCATTATTTTAGTTCGGCAGTACAAACGGTTCATTGGTATTTTTTAGTTATTAATAAACAGTTTTACTCTACTTTATGAATAACAATGAATGATGAAATGGCGCGGCGACTTTAAAAAAATGTATGTTGATGTTGAGTTTTGACAAAAACGATGATGATGTTTGTTTTTCTAAACTGATTTAATAGCGCCGGACTCTAAGTCTTTTCATCAAAAACGGAACATAAGGAATAAATGGTGAACGAATAATATGCTAAATCTCGGTTTAGTTAAACTGGTCATGATTTTAGGATCTGCAAGATAACTTTAGTTAGATTTAAGTTAAGCCGAGTTTAAGGCTAAGTCTGGATTAAATGAAATCGAGATTTTGGAAATTTTACTGCAAGTGGGCCTGAAAAAGGAAAACATAGAAATTTTCAAAAAATACTCGATATTTAAAAAATATCGATGTTTTTATACGATATATCGAAAAACATCGATGTCAGTTCCGATATTTTATATCGAGTATTCATATCGATATATTTTTTAAGTGGACACCCCTATTTTACATGTAGAAATTAGTTTATTCACTTGACATTGGCAAAATGTGCATATAAGCCATTAATAAAACAAGAAGACTTAATGATTGACGGATGACATGAGTTTTGCAATATGAAATTTACAGTTTTTTATTTTTTTTAAATGCCATGAGATTCTTGGTAGACCTATAAGGGCGCTTGTGCACTACACTGAATTTTCAGGAGCGGCGGTCCGATTTTTTCTGGTCCGGAATGACATGAAAAACTCGGATGAGTAGCTTGTGCACTTGTCCGTTTTTTTCCTGATCGGAGCGGCGCAGTGTAGGGCAGCTCTCTATGAAGCTACACGTCACTTATGCTAGATACGATGAGATTTCTGGAAAGTCGGTAATTCCGTTCGAAGACGTAGAAAGGTACCTAAAAATGGTCTGATCGTTTTACATAAACCATAATAAATTATGGCAAGACGAAAGCATTTTTTTTACTACTATCCGATAGTAGTAAAAAAAATGCTTTCGTCTACTATCAGATGTAAAAACTTATTAAACTTATTAAAGTGTTTACTAATTTAGGAACAGCATTATTCACATACAATAATGGTCTAGTACTTCATGTTTAAATTTTTAAACGTGCTATTTTTTTCGAAGTTTTGTAAAAACAACTTTCAGCGATTACAGAGATAGACCAATCGGTATTTCGTAAACAAATCGAAAATAGTGCCGTGTTAGCGAAAAATTATTATGCTAAATGAACTTTACGAGATCAGTTGACTATATTATATATAGGCATAATTTGATACGCGTGATGTAGTTTCTTTGAGCAGAAATATTATTCCCTTAGAATACTTCTTTTTCTTAAAATTTATTAATGACACACATTTAAAATTTTATTAAATACGAAAAAGACATTGAGTGTCCCTTAATTACTTTTGTTAGTCTTCTGTTTATTCTTTATTATTACTCCTGTTGTCAAATATTTATATATATTCTATACTTATCAATTGTCTAAAAAAATTTGATAATGACAAATTTCCAGGCAAACTTTCATCCCCTATTTTTTGCGATAAAATGTAGCCTATGTCTTTTCTTAAAGTTCAGTCTATTTACTATATTAATTTCCATTTAGATGGGTTCAGTTGTTTAGGCGTCTAAGCGTAACAACACTTATTTATCTTACCTTAAGTTATCGATACTTTTAATACGATTCTAAAATCTAGCTAAGTATCGATACTAGAACCATACGCTGATCAAAATAGAACTATACCGAGTTTGCCAAAGCATATGCAGTGATATATACCAACTATATTAAATCATCATATAAAATATAGCATTTTATAATCAACAATAAATATCGATTATAAGTTTATTGGAAATTGACAATATTGCCGAAATAAATATCGATACAAATCGATTATTTTTTCCCAAGCCTATTCCTTATGAATTTTCCGGATCGCGGACACAGCAATGCACAAGCGTAAACACGTTTTTCATTGCCGCCATCACGGACCTGAAAAAGTCGGTCCGGAATAGAGAACAGTAAAATTCCGGACGGTAAAATTCCTGACAGTGCACAAGCGCGCATTACCTACATATGGCCTGACATATCGGACCTGAAAAAATCGGACACAAGTGTAGTGTAGTGCAGTGTAGTGCACAAGCGCCCTAATACTCGTAATAGGTAACTAGCTATAGTGAAGGACCACTGGCTATTAGCTCGTTATAAATCCCTGCACCGCACTACTTCCATCTGTCAATGAGGAAGTATTAAAAAAAAAATAGTTCTTCTTCTTCTTTATATTAATGGCTTATCTGCGCATTTCGCACAATTCTGCCAAAAAAAAAATAGTTCTTGATATCATACTAGATGTCACTCGCGATGTTTGGGTTTTGTTTATGATATTCATTCAAATTTTGTTTCTGACGTAATAAAAGTAAATTGACTATCGAAAATTAATAAATATGACATCGTTTTCTGTTCTTTAAAATATGTAACTTTCAAATTAATTTTAATTTATTTTAATCGTAAGTTGAAGTTGTTTATTATGTTACGTGTAAAGGAACGATGTTTGGTTTATACGTCAACATTAGTGATGAACCAAATTAGCGATGGGTCGTTATCCATTTTTCAAATCACGTAACGCAAACGCTACCAGATCGCCAATCACCGATATCAAAACCTATTTTTGATAACTAGTTATTTTTTACACCGCTAAAGTCAAACCGAATTTTACCCTTATACTAACACGATAAAGCTCAATTTTGGGTTGGTTACTTGATCACTCCGAAACCCGAACAACGTGAGCGTACTAGCATATACCTATTTCATTCACACGTATACTGACATCCTGTTTTTGTTTCATTCACACGTGACAGATTGGATTGTTTGCGATCCACATTATTTAAACGCTCTACATTACGTGTTACATTCTATACCGTTATTAAAATTACACTACATGAGCGTCAATGTAAAGCGTAAATATATAAAGATGTCTACGTATCGCTGCGATCTGTGATCGCTGCTTCTTGGTGATCGATGCTACCTTGAAGCGAGGCAACCGACAATCAACCTAATTTTGTTTACATAAGAGTGAATTCGGTCTAACCTTAGAACGTTATGGATAATAGACAGTTTTTGTAAACCTGTGATCGCTACTTCTTGGTGATCGTCAAATCAAAGATCGACTTTATGCTGTTGATATACGAGTGAATTTGGTTTAATTTTAGAACGTTATGGAAAATAGATAGTTATTGTATAACTGAATCACGAGTGATCCCGGTTCAGGCAGATCACTAGTTGAATAACTGTCTATCGCGAATAACGTCCATCGCTAAACCAAATTATTATTGGTTGGTTGCTCGTAACTTTCATCCGAATTCAGGTTTGGAATTAAGAACAAAAAGCGGAGCGCAAAATTCAGCTTATATTTTTATGTGTCATTAACATTATGCATCCTCAAAACGAATGATATTAATTTTTTTCTAAACACTAGGTTAATTTAGTATTTTTTCTTAAAAAATATGAAATTTAAATAACGATTGTGTCCATATTTAAAAAAAGTTGTTTTGTCTGAAGTTGGGTACAATACCTACTAAGTCTGTGGAAAAGACTAAATATTCAAAATGTTACAGGTTATAAATGGATCTTTACTAATCTATTTTATTATTTTATGCGCGTTGAACGTATTGATATCTCACTTGGTAAAACCTGTAAGTACGATTCTTGCTTATTATATATGCAAGTAGGACTAGATTATGGATTTAATACATATGTAGCTTATAGTAGAATTTTGTCTAATTCAACAGTTGAAATTTGTCTAATTCAATGATATAAAAACATTGAATTGGACGTAGTTAATCAAAAAGGATCCATCCCACACAATGTCACTTTTAAGATATAGACAATTGAAGTTTAAGCTGTATTTGCATGTTGATGTAACATTTTTGTGTATTATCTAATTGTATAGAAACCCACTTACATTATCTTATTATAATGTCATTTTAACAGAACTAACAATATTTATTAAAATATAAAGGTTAAAGTATATTTGGATCCTTTTTGATATATTTAGGTTTTAATTACCTTATTCTTACAAAACAATCCAAACCCAATGCCATGATTTTGTTTTGTAAATGAAATGCCAAAATTTAATCGAAAAAACTATTTATTAAAGGTTTTTTATGTTTATTGTTTTAATTTTTAATATCAAATATATTCTCACTATCTAAAATCCTACACCTTGTAATAAAATTACCTTATAACAAAAATGATACAAGGGTTATGAACCTTTATTGTGGTTTTTAACCAAGATAAGTGCCTTTAATTTGCTTATTTGCTACTTTACTATATGGATCTAAGAAGCTCGAGTTGTTTTCATGGAACTAAAATATAACCTACCAAAGATGTGGGATGGTAACTACCATTGAAAAAAAGTCATATATTTAATACAGCTCAGAGCTTTTTTCCTATATGAAAGTATAGAGCCTGATAGACATTTTGGTATACTTAACTCATTTTCGACCAATTTGTGGGTTGAATTAAACCAATATTATACGCCAAATAAACTTATATGCAATTACTCTGAAGGTAAATAAGCTGTTCTTCTATATTATTTCTCAGATATTAATACAAAAAAATTATCACTAAGAAATGAATATACATTACATTTTTGTGTAATGTTTTTATGTTTTTCCTTAGATTGCAGCATGTTTTAATAAACCATCATATGAAGAAAGAACATTATGGGCAGAGATATTAAGGCTTAAAACAGAGCAGAAGAAAATGTCTATGAAGGATGAATTTGCTGCGTATTCAAAATTGCAACGGAAGATCAACAAGTTAGAAGGACAATTGAAAGATGATTCACAGTCACGGATGAGCAAAAGTCTAGCTGTCAAAAGTTCTGTTCAAATCATACTTCAAGTTACATTGGCATTGGTGACAGTGATATCAGTAATATGGTTTAGACGTGAACCAATCGTAACACTGGAAACTAATCTTTTTCCTTTGACAACTTTCTTAAGATATCCTAGTGATATACCTAATGCTATTTCAACACATGTGTGGGTAATAATTACAAATGTATCACTAAGGTCTTTGTTAAAACCAATTTTATAGGTAGTAAAATAAAACAATAAAGTTAATAATCAACTATTTATTTAAAGTACAAGATAAAAAATCAACTCAGTCAAACTGTTTCCTTTCCGGGATTATTAAATACCAATTTTCCAATCTTATACATACGTATAAACATATACATAATAAAAAGCACTATCTCCAAGAAATTATATCTACTAAACACTTAATTTATTTGCATTATAAACAATATTTTTTGGCTGTTGTGATGAGTTTAGAATAAAAACTTATTTTTAAATATTTCTATTTAAAAAATTAAGTTGTGGATATTGAATACCTAATTCCTTAGTTGTAAATCAACACTTGGAATTCTTAAATTTTTCGAACATTTATAAATCTTTAACATAATAATCAACATTTCTGTAATTTACTTACATTAATTATACTTTAAACAAATGACTGAAGGTTATGCTTCCCTAAGAAAGTATTTTAAAACAACGATTTTACATAAGCATATGTGACATCAGACACCTCAACATTGAAAGCCTTCGATAAAAATATATAAATGTATATTATTCATAAAAGAATAAATTTATCCATTTGGAACTTACTAATTTATTTGCTGGAAAACTATTATAACTGCCTCCTTTGTTTTGGAACCTATACTAATATTTACAGGCTCTATATCACAGCTTACCACTTACAGAGTATGCTAAAGGTGCAACATGCACATTATCAAAGATATGAAGTAAGTCAAAAACAAAATTTGCATAGAAAACATCTTATAACATGTATAAAACATAAATAATGCATCATTTTGTGCTTATCATAAATTCTAAGTTTTGAATTGAATTATACTTGTGCTTTATAGTAGTAGTATTTTATAATAAAACCAGGATTATAAACTGCTTTGATCCAAAATGTATTTTATATTATCTTAAAACTAAAAAAGTTTTATTCTACTATGCTGACTAGCTATAATTGCAGCCAAATTAAAATATGACACATTATAAAGTTGAAAAAAGAAATTGAAACAGTATATTTAAAATAAATATACATATTGACTACAGAGTTGATGATTTGTAACACTAGTCTCGAGTACTGGGCGTTTGCACTGATTATCCAGCACCAACACAGCGGCATCACCAAATCGGTGGAATAGATTTTTTTTTATAATTTTTTTTTTACTTTGTATGCAACCAGACTTATGATGTCTCTACACTGGTGTAAATTTACGCCCACTGGCAACTATACAGATCACTAATCAATTCTACATTTGATATTGATGTTCAACCAATATTAACAATTATCAGTGAGACTAGAAAAATGACTAAAGTAGCACTGAATATATACATATTTAATATATGATCTGTGATAAAATGGAAATTAATATAATCATTGATTCTAACAGTTTCAATGACTCAGTTTTAGTGGAATTTGCAGTAATTATAAGCTTGTAACTGAAATATAGATTTTAATTAATCGCACATGGACATATTTTTTTTGTAAATTTTTTATATACACAATATTGATAAATTGTGAAAAAAAATCTATAAAAAAAAACATGAAACAGAAGCAAGCATACTATTTATACTATTTACAACATTAATCAACAACATCTAAGTAAATCAGTCCCTTTATGTGGCACAGTGATCAATTCACTACAGCATTCTTAGTCCTTATAAACTAATAACACATTAATTACAATATAAAAGATTCGACTGATATATTACTTCGCTGAGAATGAGGTAAGCTCTCGAGTCTAACAAAACAGTGCTATAAGGCACTGGGCAGAAAGCTATTATTTTACATCGCGGCCTACGATTTGCAATCAAACTTCTATTCGTGGCGCAACAGAATTGTTATTGTTTAAGCCTAAAGCTTTTATTTCAATTGCTAAGTGTTTTCATAAAAAGAACTATTAAAATGTGTAGTCAATAGATAAACGACGGCCTCGTAAGTTGACATCATTATCGCTGTGTTTGGTATTTGGCGCACCAGCTGAGTGCCTAAGCCCCTAAAAAAGAAAAAAAAAGGCACAATCAATATCTGTGAAATGGTAAAAAAACAACGTTGTAGTATTTTGTTAACACTGTACCGTAGCGAAATTTTTAGAACCGATTTTTATTAGTTATTTGAACCATCACCTGTGGTATCCAAACGATAAAATAGAAAGCATAGATTTCTTTATTGGAAACATTATAATTTTATTTTGGGGAAATGGACCGGCTGACTACAGTTTCAAGTATTGCGTCGACTTTTTAACAGCGCCAACACTTGCAACTTTTTCATACAATTTGTGAAAACAGCTATGTGTACCAGAATCTGATCTCACAAAAAAGGAAACGACAAGTTTACAACTCAAGTCAAGTCAGTGTAAATTTTTTATGAATATTTGTAGAAATATTAATGTATTTCACAGTATACCATACCCAAAAAGCGATTGAAACTTCAATCGAAAAATATTGTTTTTATGTTTATAGTAGTGAAAGGAAGCTGAAGATCTACGGAACTCTGATTTTAAAGCGTATTTTATTAATGGAACGATAACTAAACTAGTCTTGATACTTTATTTTTCAAAATAATTAATTAGTAAAAACATGCTGACATGTTGACTACTACAATAAAATGAATTATAAGTGGAAAAGATATTTATTTCTATGCTAGGGAAAAATAGAAACCGTGAAAAGAAGAAAATTGATTTAGTACATATCTAACTGGTAAGGGAAGAAAAGTTCTTTATATTTGCAATATTAATTGAGATTAACAATAAACTAACATAATACAATACATAAAGCAAAGCTTATTTTATTTATCTGTGTTAGATTACATCATCATCATCATCATCATCAGCCCATATTCGTCCACTGCTGGACATAGGCCTCCCCAATTGCACGCCATCTATTTCGATTTTCGGCTGTTCGCATCCAGCTCCTGCCAGCCATCTTGCGCAAATCATCGCTCCACCGCGCCTGAGGACGACCTACACTACGTTTGCCGAGACGCGGTCTCCACTCAAGAACTCGTTTACCCCAACGGTTATCGGTTCTACGGCTAATATGGCCAGCCCACTGCCACTTCAGCTTGCTAATCCGGTGGACTATGTCGATAACCTTGGTTCTCTGCCGGATCACCTCATTTTTGATTCGATCCCGCAGAGAAACGCCGAGCATAGCCCTTTCCATAGCGCGCTGAGCGACCTTCAACTTGTGGACCAGGCGTGCCGTCAGTGTCCACGTTTCGGCTCCGTATGTCAAAACGGGTAGGACGCACTGATTAAAGACTTTTGTCTTTAGGCACTGCGGGATCGACGATGTAAAGACCTGACGTAGTTTCCCAAACGCTGCCCAACCTAGCCGAACTCTTCCATTTACCTCGCTCTCGAAGTTGTTTCTACCTAACTGCAATGTTTGCCCGAGGTATACATATTTTTGAACAATTCCGAGAACGGCACCGCATACTGCAGTCGGTTCCGGTAGTACGTGTTCGTTGAACATGACCTTGGTTTTATCCAAGTTCATCCGTAGGCCGATGCGCATAGAAGAATCAGCCAGGTCATTCAGCATCTGTTGTAGGTCCTGCAGATTTTCTGCCATGATGACGATGTCGTCAGCAAATCTCAAGTGAGAGATGTACTCCCCATTGATGTTGATGCCACGTCCTTTCCAGTTCAGCGTCTTAAACATATCCTCCATTGCATTAGTAAACAATTTCGGAGACATAACGTCTCCTTGTCTCACTCCTCGATGCAACGGTATAGGACTTGTTTGCTGATTCTGTACTTGGACGGTCATGGTGGCGGCCTCATAAATACATCTTATCACTTGGATGTATCGCCAATCGACTTGGCATCGCTGCAGGGACTCCAGAACGGACCAGATCTCAATCGAGTCAAAGGCCTTCTCATAGTCCACAAATGCTAGACACAGGGGCTGATTATACTCTTCAGTCTTCTGTATAATCTGCCGCACTGTGTGGATGTGGTCTATGGTGCCGTATCCACTCCGAAACCCAGCCTGCTCCGGTGGTTGGAATTCGTCAAGTCTTTGCGCAAGACGGTTCGTGACTACTCTAGAAAACAGCTTATAGACGTGGCTTAGAAGGGAAATGGGTCGATAGTTCTTCAGCAGGGTTTTGTCTCCCTTTTTGAAGAACAGGACGACAACACTCCTACTCCACGCCTGCGGAGTTCTCCCTTCGAAGAGGACAGCATTAAAAAGCTTTTGGAGCTCCTTCAGTACTGGTTTACCTCCTGCTTTTAATAATTTAAAGTTAGATTACGGGTCAAATAAAATATCGGGTTCTTCTGACGGGTTGGGTGCTGCCCAATTGGACTATTTGATGGCGAATTCTTATGCACTACAATGTGTCCCACGCTGATATCAACTAATGCTATGTTAAAATTTGTAACGATTGAAATTATCAGAGTACTTATATATGTTCAATGTTATAAGGCTGTTATTTTTCTATTGTAATAAAAATATTAAAGTATCAAGATGTTTTATCCCATTTCCACAATGTTGCCTTCTTTAAATGAAATTGCTCCGAATTGCCATCAGATTTTGGTACACCTGCCGAACTGCCGATTGGCCGCGTTAACTATTAAAAATGGCTCCAGGGACGCGGGTGATATTGCACGTGCTACCGAAATTAAACTAATTAAAATTTACTTGGGTCAGTTATGAATTGGTATTTTCAATAATGCTGAAGCGCAGACATTTCCTACTACAGAACGGATTGTGACCCAACATGCGGACCCAGAGCAATGAATTTAAGAATATTAACGACTGCCTATGCGCCGGGACCAACGGTATCTCTTCCGAAGTTTTTGGTTACCCATCCAATTACCCACCCTTACACAAAGCTGCTTCACCTCCATATCGCAGACCGAAAGCGTTAACTATGAATGATTTCTTGTTGTGATATATGAATATAGTTATTCATTAATTTATAAAATTTTGAGCTGATATATTGCTGACATATTTACCTATAAACTCCACGGTACCCTTCTTCCAACCAAACTGTGTGCAGTGTTTGCCAAAATTTACGATATTTATCACCTTCTTCTCTTAGCCGTGTCCTCGCCACTTCTGCAAGATAAAAAAGGAATATGAAACTAAAGTTTTAAGTTGTTGCTACTTAATTATTGATATCATCTTAAATATGTTACTTGTTAAAGATGATAATCAAAGATGGTACTTTTTTTATCTTGTTTTTTCATCTATTTGTTACAAAGTGAGACTTAAATGTAACTTATAAAATATTATATTTGATTGTTAATAACTATTGCGAAACATTCAAAAACCAATCGTTTCTGTAACGTAGCTTAAACAAGTCGCAGTCACTTGCATGAATTTAGTATGTTGTGGTGAAACTACAACGCCTTATTTTACTGATGTGTAAGTAGTACACTTACACATCAGTAAAATAAGGCGTTTTTATTGATAAGGTAAATAGGATCATAACTATCTATTAATGTCCCCATTGGAAGGGACAAGTGTTCTCTATGCATGGAATAAAATCGAATAAGAGATGTAATGTCCAGTGCGGATTGGCGGATGCAGACGACGTGCAACGACTGCAGATGTAGTCGGAACCAACTTCCAAAGCACAAAGTTCAAGACAATAACTTTTTGGTTACCCGACCTATGACCGGCCATTGCGAAAGTTGCAACCATTTCACAGATCAAACGCGCTAACCGATGGGCTATCGAGCTACTCGATTCAGAATGTCAGAACATTATTATTATGTTTTGAAATATGATTTAAGAAAAAAAATATCCCATTTTTCCACTGTTATCTTGTTGTTTCACATTGCTAATTTGAGCCTCTTGTAATCGGACGTCATTGAATTTAAGTACAAAAATTTGTTAGGGATCGAATTTCCGATACTGTAAACCATCAATTATGTTAAAAGAATAATTCCGCTTTGCTCCATCAAGTCATCCTAAAGATGGGCCTAAGCATAAGTGTCTTAAAGGTTAAGGATAAGGGATAAGCCTTAAAATTCGCAGTGGACAGTGCCCTTTATTGCGATTTTCTGTATGAAGGTTTGATTTTTTTTTGTAGACGTATTACACAATATCGATTTAAGTTACAATAAATAACGGTTAGAGAACCCGAAACACTAATGCTCGCCAGACGGCGGGGATAGTGCCAAACAAGATTACTGTTTATTGTATATCTGGATAGTCTCTTCCAAATAATCTAGTTGCTAGATGCCTGCTTTCATGGTGGCTGCCGAAACTACATCACATTAGCGAACTCTAGTGAATGTGATAAAAAGATTGTACGATAAATTAAACTTTAAGAAAATCGGAAAACCAGTAGGTAGAATGTCTTATTGTAAAATTAATCGCGTTCTTATTCAAAGGTAAAGCGACTATGAAAGACATTTATAGAATCATATCAAAGCCGCAATCACTTGGAACGAATGATGATTTGAAGAATCAAGAACCACACCTTTAACCACCATTTGTGTGGTGTTTCGTCGATAAAACTTAAGTAATAAATAAATAAAAGTCAAGGAAAAATGTGGCTAAAGTATCGAAAATACGATCTCTAACTTACTGTATATTAAATGTACCTAGATATGAACTCACCGTGTGGGTAAGCGATGCAAGACGCAACGGTCTTAGAGAAAGCGCCGGCGCCCATAAATTCCAAAAAGTCCCTTGGTGACCGCTGATCGTTGGGGATCCCATCCACGCTTCTCGCAGCGACCAGTCTAGCCTTCACCCCCTCATACAATACGAAATGTACAACAGTCTCACTAATACCCATATATGATGCCGTTATGCCTTTATAAAATCCTCTTATACCCTGAAAAAAAAATGTATTTATTATAAGTATTTAAAAATGAGGTTTTAGATCCTAACACAGTATGAAGAATATGGCCATTTGCATTGCAATGTCACAGTGCAACTATAAAATGAGCTATTTTTCGAAAAAACTAATATTTTAAGATATAATGTATTCAGGAAGTGAAGGATGAAAATTTACTATAATAATTATTGCAATTGAGACAACTACCGTTTTAGCGTATATCCTCTTGATGCACTGCAGTGCTGTAACGTTTTGTCCGTCTAACTGAAGCCGCGTTTTGACAAACCATATCGGATTGGTCATAGTGCATGATACAAAACCTGTAACATTTTATTTAATAATTATCGATAGGTATTGTAAAATGTTACACTATTAGTTCTGGACCAATAAAAAACAAAATATGATAATTTTTATATATGCATTTCTTTGCCAGTACCACAAACTTCTCAATAGTTAAATTTACGCTAATAAAGCAATTACAAATATTTTTTTAAAGATTGAATAGATCAAGGAATTTTTCAACTCTAGAAGATATTAATTACTGAACTAAGTTAGAAGCGACCTTTATCTAGTTAGTAGTGAATAAACGGGTTCAAATTAAATCAGAAAATATCAAACACTACTACATAAGCCAATTGGTTGGTTGATTATAATTACAAAAATATTTAACTATGTACCTGCAGCACTAGCAGCTGAGAGATGTACAATAGGTGTATCCGGTGGTATGTTTTGATTCAATATTGCTTTTGCTTGAGAATACGTGCAGAAGTAAATGGCTCTCGATGGCGCCACACCCACTATGTTGGGTCCGAGGCCTTTAAACAAAGCTTTCGGTCCTTCATTTTGAACTATATGTCTGGAAAATTTCAGATCAAGGTTAATCAGTCGCCTTTGCACTATGTTGACACTTAACGTAACCGATAAAACAATTGACGTAAATGGCGATTGACTCGTCTAAAGATAATAATATTTTGTTAATATCAACATGCAGCTAATAATAAGTTTGTTAAAAATATATTAATAAATTTTAACTTATTAGGTCTCATCAAACATGTGATTACCTCAAGAACGCCATCTAAGTATATAAGGCCATCTGATAAACGATAAGCGATCGACCAATATTAGCCGGTGCTGTTAATCGGAAAATATTTGGAGAACCAATGGTTCCAGTGCAAATCCGGCTCACGCGTGCTTCTCGTGACGATCAGTAGGAATGTTTAATGTCTTATCTATTAACATATACATGATAACATTGTCAGTTTCAAGCGGTTTCTCTGTTCGTTGGTGGTATAGGATTGAACAAACATTTTTCAGTTCTTTTCCATATAAATGATAAAAAAGGATGACGTTTGTAACCGTTCCGTAAAGGTGACAATAAATCGATGAGCTTGAAACACCACGTAGTCACGTTTTATCTTCATGTAATCGTCTCGAGCACGCAATGGCTCCATGCCAAATACTAGTCACTAGAATCTTATCACAGGAAAAACTACTAAAAGAGTTAAGCGAGTAAATACGTAGTAGTTTCATATTAGAAGTACAATAGAACTGTTATTGTTTAAGTAAACTATGTATGAACCTTTGAGTTGTGGATTTAAGATCTCGTGAAACATACAAAAGACGTTACAGTTATCACTCACCTTAGGCATTGGATGAGGCTCATCCTGGATGTTGTTCTAGCGTAACCTGCCGTTGCACACTGCTGCACCTGACAATTGTAGGAGATCAGCATGCGGTCGGCTTGCTTGCTGTATGCGAACATCGCGCCCATCGTACGTCTGTAGCCCCATTTGGCCTCCTGCATTACATGGCCAATATAAAGATAGCACCATCGTTTGTGTCAAGCAAACTTTAACATTACACATGTTACAAAGTCTTATGTTTACTACTGGATCTTATTCTACTGAACTACATACTATGATGTTCTACATGACTTCAAATACAAACTGAAGTAAACATCAGCGTCTGACTGTATTTATTTAATAAAATAATGGCGATTTATCCTTACTCTAGATGTCATGCTTGTTATTGATGTTAATAAATATACGTGCCGGTTAGATCAATATTTTAATACCTTAGTTTAATACTTGTCATCCATGCTTAATAAAAGTATATATTTATAAGTCCCTTAAATTGCTAATGCGCTGGAACCCTGTCTAAATAACACGCACTTGACTTTATTTGAAAATAGAATGTGTAGGTAGCACAAAATGCACGAGATAAATTATTTATTGAAATATTTATGAATAATCTCTAAGATTTTGTTATAATAATTTAATAACTTTTAGTTTAATAATTTATTGTATGAATTTTCGGTAAAGATCAATTTTTATGTTAACATTGAGGTAATTTGAAATTTTTAAAAAAATATGAAAAACATAACATTTACTTTGCGCGACAATAAACGGAAAACATATTTTTTTTTAAACAAAGCCAAAAGTAATAATGAAACAAGAGACATTAGATATATATATTTTTAGTGAAATGAGGTATACTTATACGAGGGTCAAACTGAAAGTTCTTAGAACTGGCCACTTATAAACAATATAATAAAAAAATAATTCTAAAATTTGAAAATATAACTCTTTGCCAATATTACTGAGTATATATTTCATTCATTTGTCATTTGTTTTACGATTTGGCGGCAAATTGAAAATTGTCTGTGTCACGTCATCATGAATTTAACACGAGAAAATTTTCGTGCAATGATTTTTTATGACTTTCGATGTCATTTAAGTCAACAAGAAAGTTATGATAGACTACGATTGGCCTTTCACGATGAAGCCCCATCTCGTGCGACTGTTTACAACTGGTTTAATGAGTTTAAACGTGGTCGCACTAATCTCACTGATGATTTACGTGAGGGACGGCCTTCTACGGCGACGACTGAAGATAACATCTGTGTTGTGCGGCGTATGATAGAGACTGACAAAAGAGTGACCTATCAACAGATTCGGACAAGCTTAGGCATCGGTATGAGTCAAGTGCACAAAATCCTCCACGAACATTTAGCGGTCAGGAAGCTTTGCGCCCGGTGGATACCTCATAATTTGACTGAGGCTCAAAAACTCCATCGTGTGGATTGGTGTCGTAAAATGATTGAAAGATTTAACGGAGGTGACTCAAATGCTGTGTTCGACATACTAACAGGTGACGAAAGCTGGATTTACTGTTATGATCCTAAAACCAAAAGACAATCTGCTCAGTGGGTGTTTCCTTTCGAGGAGTTGCCAACTAAAGTGAAGAGAGATCGAAGTGCGGGAAAAAAAATGGTGGCCTCGTTCTTTGGAAGGATAGGTCATTTTGCAACAATTGTGTTAGAGGATCAAAAAACAGTTTCTGCAGAATGGTACACTACCAATTGTTTGCCACTTGTCTTGGAAAAAGTTCGAGAGAAACGACCTCGCAGTAGGATCCTCCTTCACCACGACAACGCCTCGTCGCACACCGCCAAGCGAACGATCGACTATTTGGCGACATCAAACGTTGAATTACTGGGTCACCCGCCGTATAGCCCCGACCTCGCGCCTTGTGATTTTTATTTATTTCCAAAAATTAAAGAAAAACTTAAAGGAAAGCGGTTTATGAATGCTGAAGAAGCGGTGGCTGCGTATCGCGATGCCATTGAAGAGACCCCTGAGGACGAGTGGGCAAAGTGCTTTTCCCAGTGGTTCCATCGCATGCAGCGGTGTATTGACGTGAATGGACAATATTTTGAAAAGATATAATAAAACTAATAACTGGCTAATGTAATCAGTTTTTGATTTTCTAAGAACTTTCAGTTTGACCCTCGTAGTGAAAATCGTATTAGCAGTTGATAATTTAGTGAACTATAAACAAATAACAAAACAACAAAACAATAACAATCAAAAACATAACAAAAATTGTGTGTGATCTTAACAAAACCCAACTCAATCAGTCTCCTCGTCAACCATTGTTTATTTGTCAACGGTACTGATTTTTGAACACAATGACGTCACCAAAATAGCGGCCAGGCGCATTAGCGAATTGCGGGGGTTATACGTTATATTAAATATCAGAAAATAAATATACGATAATATTAATACTTTGCTTGCACAAGTGATGGAAATCATGAAACAATTTCAAGGGCCAATGTTTCCATACGGCTGTTTGCAATACCACAAATTTTTAAACACATGGTTTTTATTAATGAAATAAAACTATTTTCATCTATATATATAAAAATGAATCGCAAAATGTGTTGGTAAGCGCATAACTCAACAACGCCTCGACCAATTTGGCCAAATCTTTTTTTAAAATGTTCGTTGAAGTTCAAGGATGGTTTTTACGGCGAGAAAAATTAGAATTATTGCTGGAAAAACCCTAAAAATAGCCCTTTTCTTTTTCCCATACAAATGATTTGTAACTAAAACGTAGTCAATTTGAGCTTTATTGCTATGGTATAAAGTTCATATTAAATTACAAGCACTCACTGTTGTCTAAGCAATGTAGGTGTGTTCCTAACGTCAAAGATCATATCTATCAAAACAATGTGCGTGTGTGCGTTGGAGCACAGAATACATAGTTGGAGGAGTTTAATGTCGCGTTCCGAAACTCGCGTTTCTTTTGTATTAGTTTCGGCACGCGAGATAAAATGCATCAGAATTTTTTTAAATACGTAGGCAAAAAAACTGCCACATTACAAATCTTTTTGACAGGACGAAGTCTGTCGGGTCAGCTAGTTTTTAATATAAACAAAGCCGATACAGGATATTAATTGGAAATTAAATATATACACTGAAACATGATTTTAAAATATATTTTTACTTTTGGTTAGTATAATTAAGAAGATGAACTGCAGTAACTTCGTGGCCGCAAAATTTGGAAAATTCATGGATTGTTATATTGTTATGCAATTCAGACATAACACTGGCATTTTTATTACAAAACTTCCACGTAAATATATTACTGTGAAACAAGGTTTTAGCCACCCAATTAAAACGTGTGGAGAATCCACTATACATACATACAACATTCCAAATTTATTTATTTATATACATATATATTCAACACTAACATAAACATAGACAACTGCCATAACCGAATATACCTACTATATTGTTGTCCAAGCCAAATAATTAAGTCAAAACAAATATAGCTATTAAGACTATCTTACGGATAAAAGATGCAAATGCAATATAATTTACAACTGATAATGATTAAACGGCCGAGTGATATCAGTCTTACTCATGTTGTTTACTTTATTTTGAAGTTATGGATAGTTATATAATGGATACTTGATTTGATTACAAAATCAAACCTTTTATGGAATACAGTATTCTATAATAGGTAAATGTTATCTACAGCCAATAGTAGTGCAGGCAATTTTATGGTGTATGTGTGCTTCTAAGTTTAGATGGCATTGAAACTTCGTTAGACTCGATACGTTTAAATGACTTTGTGTAAGGTCGTCCCACAGAGAATCGCGCCTAAGAATATTTTATGAAAAAATAATCAGATAAATTATACAGATTTTGAACATTCACTCTGTAAGTAAATGTTATTAAATACCGCCAATTTATTAAACCAATTACGCTAAAACACCATTGTTCTTGACTGACATATTAATTACAATTTATTTGTCAGTATTCCATGGTAAATCACTTATTTGACGGCTGTTCAGATACCTTCGCTACGTGATTTGTATCGATCAACTTATAGAATGTTACTTATGTATTAAATATACATAATTAAGTAGTTTACTTCAAATTAACTTATCATTTGAGTTATCAAAGTGACGTGTTGTTTTCCTTTACTATGGTTGCATTCTTTATACCAAAAGAAGATCATGTTTCTTGGCATATGAATTGTAATCAGTATTCTAATTGGATTATTGCCAATAACGGGTCACTAGCATCTAACTATAATTCATTTTCAATTCATGATTGCATAGTTTGGAATAGAATTTATACATAATGACTAGGAAAGAAAGGAGTAAACTGGGAAAATTAGCTTTTAAACACGCAACGTTAAAACAAGTTAACAAATTAATGGAGATATACATATACCATAATTTATTAACAGAAAATTTAGTATATAACAAAGTTCATGCATGTCCAATGGGAGTGTGGCACTTTGTTTGAATTACTGTTTAAACTTATTATCGAACTTATATTAAAATTACTTTGGAAAATCTGTCTCAGGACCAAGCCAGACTTAATGAAATCCATAACACGTTTGACCAAGTTTTCCTGCTACACTTCACGTATTGTAAATTAAACCAACAATATGTCATATATTCATCTAAAAATGTAAACAAAATGCCCCTTACCTCGAACGTTAAATAAAGTCCTATTTACTGAATTTAATTCCGAAATTTTTCAACATTTTAGAATTTGCCATACAGTGATATATTTTGTATAGAATTTACTTGATAAGCCATTTCAAAAAATTGTCACTTAAGATTGTAAAACCGAATGGCTTTTTACAAATTTATCAAATAAAGAAATACATTCTTTACGTAAAGTAGATGGACCGAAATGGACTTTGTTCTGGCAAGTGTATACCGATCACCGAATAAAACCGGTATTTTGTTTCAGTAGCTACTTCTAACCAGAAATATCGAGTATTTGTATCACGCTATCTTTCCAAATCGCGTTATCAATATAATATAGTAAACAAACTGAAAATAAAAGATTTACATCATGGAAATCAGTCACGTACGCCTTACTGAACAACTTTTTCTTACAAACTTCTTATTGAACACTGCTACTTTCTCTCACTGTCTCTTTGAAGAGACTCTGTACTCAAAAAATTGCTTTAATAAGAATTTAAACAAGATCAATGTTTTCTACCACTTCATAGAAACAAATATCTTGTGATTCGTTTTAATATTGAGAATTAGTAATATTAGTCGGGGTAACATAGGTGTACATACCATAAAATGGTTAACGAGACTTTTTTAAGTTTGTGATAATTTTTTACGTTGAAATAGTTTGTAAATTTGACATTATACCCATCTCATATAATCTCAAATTAAAATTTAATTAAAAAGAGAAAATAACAAGGCCGACATTACCATTTATAGCAATATTTAAGTTGTACCTCAATCTAGTTATTCTAAGAAAAGACAAATTTTGTTGTTTCACTGTCACAGTGCATTTAAAACGTAGGTACCTAATGAATATAAGATTACTCTCGCATTATATGGTTATGCTCGACTTAACTTGCTTATGTTCATAAAACATCTCAACTTAAATCGTAGAAACATTATGTAAATATTTTTAACAATGAAAACTTTTTCTGTATTGTGCTAGTAGACGGTTACATTGTTGCACTAACATAGATAACTTCTCGAAGATTCTTATACCTATATAAATGTTTAATTTAGGTATTCACGACATGAAACCTTATACTTAATAGTAATGAAACATTTCGACACACATTCTATACGGTCAAGCCGTACATTGGCGTTGCATCATTTTTATAATAACCTTATTTACTCATAATATATAAATTATTTTTATATATATTCCGTTCGCAAAATATATCAGCGTATCAAGTCGCGCGCATTCACATCAGCTTTCACCCTCATAAATTGATCTCTTTAAAAATATGTAGCCGTCTTAAATCTACATATTTTTTCAACATGTAGAACTCCTTTAATACCTAGGTAGTAAACACTTTTTATATTATCAAGTATATACTGTATATTTACTCCACTGGAAGTACAGAAAAGATTCCATTCTTTTATGGTATCTTTTCCCTATTAAGAGTGACTGTTATTAAGACTGATTGTGCATAATAAAGACAAGGAAAAACGAGATGAAATTAACAAGCCAGTCAATGTCATTTAAAAAAAAAACAGATAATTTCGTATTACCTGTATTTGTTGGCTACATAAGAATACTAATTTGCTGCCTACATAAGAATACTAATTATACACTCGCACGTGGATTTTCACTTCTGGATTCTTTCTATTCACAGATTTGATGGTCTGGCTCGTATGTAAAGAAATATAAAAACTCTATTACGGCACCAAACATCTATGTTCTAGTAATAGTGACCACTATGTTACTATACAAACTAGATTCTTATTAACATATCTCTATGGTATAATCAGTACACTATTGCAATTTGGTATTCAATTATATGTTTTATCTACACTCAAATCGAAATATTCGAATTACGAATTCAAAGACGATTCTATACATACGCACTTTATAAACGCATATACATAAAATTAAAAATAAAACTCATTATAGTGCCGCTAACTGTATCATAAAACGCATACGTAGTTTGAACTTAATTTCCCGCGCTTCCCATACATTTTTTTGCCGATCGTGTTTTTGTATTCGAGATTCCAAAAAATGACTTCCTTGTAACCTAACTTTTTTTTTAATATAAATTTTTCCTATGAGTGAAGATAAAATAGTGTATGAAACTGCATATAACTTAGGAATTAAAACACTAGAGTCAACCTATTATCGAATTCGGCTTCGCCTCATGATAAACAGACTTTCGTGTTTTAATACCCCTTCTTATATGACAGTTGCATAAACTACTATTTTTGAAATTAGGTTTATCCGCAAAACAAACAATAGGGATGGCAACTAATTTTTGTTTGTTTGTCCAGCAGGTAGGTTATTGAAGAATATTAAATACGTATTTTTTATTTTTTTGCGTAATCAAATCAATAAATTAGGGCGATTCATTGAGTTGAAATGTCGCATGACGTCACACCTTTGTCCATTTTCTACAAAACTGTGACCTACCCCCTCAACTTTAATGCCTATATATACTTTAATGCCAACTTTTATCCAAGTCATTTCTTGTTTAAATGAAGCATAACAAAATACGTATCTAATATTTTTCTATCATCTGACTGAGGGACTTAAAAGAATTTTTTTTTTTTTAACTCAGTTATCATCCCTATTCCCCCTTTACCCATAATAACTGAGATGTTAAATAGTCACTTTTATCAGTGTTAATTTAATATGGACTGTAATTATGTTTGAGAAAGAATTTAATAAAATTTGATAGTAAAAGGTAATAATTGCCCCTTAAATTAGTACTTTTTCTTATGAGAGCATTTTGTCAAATAATAGGTACTAATTTTTAGTACAAAGAAAAAACGTCCAAATAAGCTGTAAATGAAAATGAGAAATAACATTACACGGTAATGGCACTGCAATGGCCGAAAGATAATTAAATTACACATTATTAATAGAATTAAATTCGTCTTTTTTTTTAACACGACTGCCCATCCAAATAAACTGTATTTAGCTACTTCAGGCAGCACGGTTATCACCATTCACCATCGCGCTATTCTTTTCATCCGCTCGGAATCGACATTTTTTATTATACACAAAAGTATGATAGCCGCGAAGATAGGAACTAATCGTTCGGATAAAGCGGATATCGCATAAATACGATTCGGATAAAAGTACGACGGTTAGACTTAAGTTTTCTCTTTATACATATGTTTGGACTTTATTTGTCTATTCACAATGAATTTGAAATTAGCAATTTAGTGGCGCCATTTTAATATAGGTACCTATTGAAAAAAAAACATCTGATTTTACTTAAACATGTTTCAGCATTAAATAAAATTCTACCTCAAGAAACACCCAAATAAGCTTATAATTCAATGATTTACTGTCTCTTGCCACGTGTATGTATTGTATAATAGTTATATTAAAAGTACTAAAGGCTAGTTATCTATTTTTAGATAACAACGTTATCACCTGACTGAAAAAAAAAATCCTGAATAGTGTTACTTCAAAATAAAAAGAACAACGCAGAATAAGTAGCGTCTTAGCAACTGATATCTTATCATTATTACCTTGATGTTGTAATCAATCAACATGTTTCAGTTTATAGACGCATTTTAGTTTATGTTAATTATATGTATGTAATTAATATTAATTCTTAATATCTTCAACAATTATCACTTTTATTTCCGCGTATACAAGGTACTCGTTTAATAAAATATATTTTATTTTAATCTACTGAAGCATGCAAGGGATTGGAAAATAAAATCTATTTTTAAAATACCTTGAAATCTGTGCAAAGCTTTTTTACTATCCCCAATAATATTAGTCTTTTAAAATCATAAAAATAGTTTGTGTCAAGTCTTATTATGAAGTCAGTTATATTGAGTAATACAGTACAGATTGTTTTACCTGATGTTTTGGTATTTTGGAACAGAATTTTCTGGTGCTGGATGTGTTGTCTGATGGGGGTGGAGGTCCTGCGGGAGGAATACCGACTCCTTTAGATGATTGCAGACGAGTTTTCACAACTTCTAAGGGGCAAGTAACAACAGCCCCAGCAGTTCCTGCCACACTGTAAGTTTTTAAATTAATTGAATAATAATTATATTAATCGAAACATGAATTCTGAATGAATTTATGACAATACGTTTTATAGGTATACAGCTTCTTTGTTACAATAAAACACTTATTTAGGATTAATTTACGGTTAATTATGGAATAGCAATTTTTTTGCTTACATAGTTTTCGTATGCTGACTTCCATTGAAGCTCATTTTTATTAGGCAGCGGCGATATCCCGTAAATGGGAAAACGAATAAGCGCATCTTTAATGATTTGAAAATTTGCTCATCAAATGCAACCTACATTCTCCTGAAGCACCTTGCAAACAGCCTCTTACAGATTTGAGCTTTTCTGACTTAAGGGCAAAAAAGCAGGAGTTCCTTAAGGCTCAGTCCTAGGACCTGTTCATTACACTGTACTGTGTATACCTTCGATGTGCCTACGTCATTTAAAGTAAGACACATTTTCGTGCAAAGTGGAGTCACTGAGCAAATAAACTTGAATGAAGTTAATCTATTTCAAACAACTGCTCTATCTATACAATGCAGAATGGTTACCAAAAATTGGAGAAATACACAAATACTAAGAAATTGACATTGAGTATGATATCATAACATCATGTGAGAAATATATTAACCAATTGGAATGACACAAAAATATACTTGCTCTTCTTGATTCTTGAATTGTAAATAAAAGTCGAATTGGCAGCAATATAAATGGGTCTTGGTGGTATTTAATATTGTAAATGTAATACCACATCATTGGATTAGTGACTCCAGAAAATTTCAATTATAAACTAGTCTGATTATAGCTGAGGGGCTGACTGATTAATTAATAGAGGAATTAATAGTTGGCTCTTAAAAACCATATTTTAAAACCCATTTTTAAGTTATAGAATGACTGGCTTAGAATTTAAAGTTCCAATGTAAACAAATTACATGCACTATGTGTCTTACATTAAAAAAGACATATTATTTACTAGAATTGACATAATGATTATATGACGTTAGTAACAAGACAAATATTTCTTGTTTCTAGAATTTAAATTATCAAAGTATACTGATATATATTTTTCACAATAAATAAGTTAACAAATAAGTTGATATTAGTTATAAATATTGTTCTTCTATATATCTGATAAGGTGACTGTGTCAACCCTTCATAATAATGTTACTTGGTAGTTTTTATGTTAATGTGATAAACATTTAGGCTACTGATATGATAACTAAAGACTATTACTTATCATTGTTCTTAAAAAAATCACACATAGTAAAAGTTATTTCAATGGATTAAATTATAAAGAAACAACTCCTTTGTATATGAAATAGTTAAAATTATCATAAAACATATTAAAATTAATGATATGTTTTTTGATAAATTTCTTTCTTTCTCTTTTTCTTTTTATTAATTTAAAATTACTGAAACAATTCATATGAATTTATGTATTTCATTGGGTTTACATAAGGGTCTATTTATATAGAGACTTTTAAATTCTGTTTTATTTTTCAATCAATCAATCATTTATTTGCCCAAAATATGGTGTACAAAGGTTACATTAAAATATCAAATTTTTACTACTGTGTGTAAGACAGTGTGCAATAATGTCCATAAGATATAAAATTTATAATTAATTTACACTGTCATCAAAACGAGCATTTATTATAAAAAATGTGTTTAATATTTTTCATCTACCTGACAAACAAACAAACTAGTTGTTATCCTTATTGTACAAAACATATCTGTGTCAATTTACAAATAATAATCTAATTAGTTAAAAGCAGTCACATTAAAAATAGGTCCTTGTATATAATAAGTTAATAGACGTCAATAGACATTGTTTTTTTACAATATATATATTTTTTAAATATGTTTGCAGCATGCATTCTGTCAATTCCATGACATATGTCAAAGGTTACATTAAAAAAATATATATATTATACAAAACACTAATGGAAGAATAGAAATAATTTATATGGTGGATAAATATTCTTAAATTTTTCACTCATTTTTTTTCTTTCATAAGAACCTTCTCCTGACAATAACAAACGCAGTAAAAAAATGAATTGGCGAAATCGGTCCAGCTGTTCACATGTGATGGTGTGACCAAGGGAAATTGGGATTTGTTTCTATATTATATAAATAAACTGCCATTTACTATTCTGAAATTGTCAGTATTCCAAATATTCCTATTAAAGCCTTTTTTTACAAATTAGTAGTTTTAATGCCAAATTATATTGCAGAATTATAATTTTATTTTGTCTTTGGTAAAGTTTTGTGGATACACATTTTATAGATATAAATATGAGGCGAAAACAATATTTTTAATTCTATAAACATTGTATTATTAATATTATTGTCTAGTTCATCCACATCTTTATTTTGAAATAGTAATGTACAAGCATCAGCAAATAGGAGACGGTAATTTGTTGTTATATTGGGGAGATAATTGATGTTTAGTAAGAAGAGTAACGGTCCTAAAATGCTGCCCTGTGGCACATAATTATTTCGATACATTGATTGAATTTTTTTTATTATTCTCTTCTATTTTTGTTAGTTTTGTACACTGTTGTCTATTCATCAAATAACTTTCGAATCACCTGTAAGCTGTGCCTCTTATACCACAGTCAAATTTTTTTCAACAAAACTAGTATGAGTGTTGTCAAAAATAGGTGTATAATTTCCTATATCACTAATGTCTCCCTTTTTGTATAATGGCTTTGCTACTTAATATAGGTCTATCAATAAATGTGCCACTTTCCATTGAAGCATTTCTTATATTTGATAAAGGCAATTTAATATTTTTGAAGCATGCTTTCATAATATTTGTGTTCTGTTCATCATTTTTATATTATCTGATATTTATATGTAGTACTCATTAAATGTTAATATTATATCATGAACATAGTTTAATATTTTATCTTATACTTTATGGTTATAATTCAATTTTAGAAGGTTTTATATTTAACCAGAGCATATTGAAAATGCAAAAAAAAATAATGTTTATTATTTCCAATAAGAAAAAATAGTTAATTAATATTATAATTTCTTTACACCAAATACTATTTATCATAGGCAAATAAGACCCAATAATATATTATATAACATAATATTATATAATATTTATCTACTTTCATTACCATTATTAAATTGAGATGATATAAGTTTAATTTTATTTTAAAAGTTAAGAATGCCTCAAACTGGACTTTAACATCACATCAACAGGTTTATATTTCTGATTTGTTTTTTCAATGATCAGTTGATAGAAGTTTCATAAAACTAGGACTTGATGTTATTGAGAATAATCAGTTGAGACTTTGTACTTTTCTCAATTCAGATACCAATTGTTAATTTTTTTTGTAGTTTCATTGAATGATTCAAGAACTAAATAAATAATTAAGAATCTCAAATTTAAAACATTGGTTAATACTGATACATATTTTAAATGAAATAATGCATTTGTTTTCATGCATTCCACAATATTTTCAGTAAGATACTCATCAATATTTACTTTAAAAAACTAATATTGCAATTCTATTGATTGCTCCTTTAACTTATCGTAAGAAAAAATATAAATGCTATTCAATCTCTAAGGTCCCACATAGGAATATATTACACTTTGTTATGGGAAGTAAAGAGGAGCTGGATTTAGGTAAAAATAAAAAAGACATGATTTGTACTTTAACCAGAACTTAAGTAGGGGGCAACAACTAAAGAGTAACTTTATCTGATGATTATGAACTTTTATCTTATATTATTTGGCCAGTCCATAAAGAAAATAAAATGAACACCTATTATTTTACATCAGTATATTTAAATCTGTAGCAGATGATATTTTTTTCAACAAATGATTGTCAGGCAATATTTTGTTTAGGATCAAACCTAGGTATTATCACATGATTTTCGACAGAATTGGATTGACTTAAATATGATGGTAAATAATCTATCTATTCATTTATATGTCTAGTAATGTTTAAAATAGTATAACTGCGGAGCAGATTGTTTTCCATGTAAGCAAAGAATATAAACAGTAAATGTACGATACTCACCCGCCGGCTACAAGATGTATCGCTGTATCTTTCTGAGACATTTTAAAGCCGCAGGGGTATTTACATGACTGCAAATTGCGACTGTCTATAAATAAACAAATGCACCACTAATACTCGTAATACTCGTGCAATATCCACATAGGTTTAGTTAGTTTATAGTTTAATACAGTTCTTAACATTACATGTAGCACTAACGCTGTAGCTTGTTTTTTGAAAACTAGTAAGTATTCGATTTTCTTTTCACAACAATACGTCTGGCACTTTCAGCGATTAACTTCGTAACAATTTATTTACGCACACAAATAAATTCCACGGCATGTAGACACAGGACGACACACAAATGTAGTCGCGTACGTGACGTCGACCGCGAAGACGAAAACAACCAAAAACATTTTTTTTTTTGGTTCAAATTTTCCCATTCCTACAGGGGAAGGGGAAGGCAAAGGGTGCTTAGCCCATACAGCCTTGTCATTTGTAATTATATTCATTAATATTCTTATTCAACGGCCACAGCCAAGTCTTTTTTAATAGAAATTTGTATTCTCAGTCTAAGTCAAAAGGCCGAAGCCAAGTCTTTTTAAGTTTTATGTGATTACATCTTATTTACAAATTAACAAGCGAAATATACAAACGAAGGAAATTGAAAATAAACAAAATTAAATTGACATAGAAAAAACAACGTTAGATTTCCCCAATGGTTGAGGTTACATATTCGTAAATATATACAAAGCACTCCTTTTTCTTCAGAAGTTGCTGAAGCGAACGCGGGATGTCATCAGCTTTTTTATATATACACAGAAGACTGTCTATAAGAATTATACGTTGGAGACTAAAAGAACGACAACTGAAAATTAAATGATCAAGAGTTTGTTCAGCAAGGTTGCAAAATTCACATGTTGATGAAGATAAGACTCCAAGGCGAAACAAGTGGGCACCAAAACGACAATGACCTAAGCGTAATCGGCAAATAGTGGTGTAGAATTTTCTGTTTCGAAAGATTCCTCCATAGAACCATGGAGGAGAAATCTTGGTTTTAATCTCTGCCAACCACTTTCCTTTGTTTTGAACAATTTGTTGCCATTCGTCATAAAATTCCTTGACAGCTGAGGATTTAACATGAGATAAAGCATCAGAAGCAGGAATTGGAAAATTTAAAATTGGGACACTTTCATAATGATCAACAATTGATTTAGCCAGGTAATCTGCTTGTTCATTTCCAAACACACCTATGTGAGACGGAGTCCAGAAAAAAGTGATTTCTTTAGAATGAGACAAAGAAGAATATTGCTTACGAATGTTGTGAGTTATGTAACTAGTTTTTGAAATACACTTAGGGTTTTGAAGTGATTTTAATATACTCATGCAGTCTGTAATTATTAACCATTTCTTTCCCTGCTGACTTGCAATATATTCCAGAGCAAATAAAATAGCAAGAGATTCTGCTGTGTAAATGCTAGCCATATCATTTAACCTATGTCCAAACCCACTTCGAGTTTGTTTATTATACACAGAAAAGGATACAGCATTATTGTTTTTAGAGCCATCTGTGTATAAATGATTGTAATCCCTCCACTTATCTAACTGTCTATATACATCTTGTTTACATTTTTGTTCATTTATAACTATACTAACTTTACAAAATTTTGAATTGTAATTTCCTAAATAGCAAGGCCAAATAATACTAGAAAACAAATTATTATCATGAAAAAACTGTACATTTTCAGTAAAACCCTGGATTAATGAGGTTGAACCGACATCAGCTTTGCTGGCAGCATGTCTTAGCTTAGAAACAAGAGGGTGATCACTGATTGAAAAAATACTGAGAAAGAATTTTGCTTGAAGATATTTGAACCTTAGTGATAAAGGAGGTATGTTGCATTCTACCTGTAAAGAGATGATTGGTGTTGATCTCATGGCACCTGTAATGATCCTTAAACATTTATTTTGAGTTTTTTCTAATTTCTCTACCAAATTAGTTGCCTGTTTATAACATAGAAAACCATATTCAAAATGACTCCTAACCAAAGACTTGTACAGAACTAACAGTGTAGCTGGATCAGCACCCCAATATACTCCAGCTAAAGATTTTAAAATATTGCAAGCTTTGAGAGCTCTGTTTGCTAAATAATCAACATACCTGTTCCATTTAAAATTGCTACAAAATGTAACACCTAAGAATTTAACTGTATTATCTATAGGCATTGTTTCATTGTTATAGTATATTTTAATTGAATTAGGTTTTACAGCTTTTTTTGAAAATATGACTACCTTACTTTTTTCATTGTTCACATCTAGATTGAGATTTTGAAAATATTTTTGTAGGCTTTTTAGGGCAGTATTAAGTTTATTTTGGATATCCAGCTTATTCAAACCTGAACAATAGACTACCAAGTCATCAGCGAATTGTAGGTTAGAAACATTATTACCTAAAACAATATTTAATTGATGGATGTATAAAATAAACAACAAGGGACTTAATATCCCACCTTGAGACACTCCTTTATAGGAATATCTTGGACCAATTAACTGTTTATTGATTTTCACAAATATCTTACGGCCATTTAAAAATTTGTAAATCCAATTTACTATTTTTGCAGGTATATTTAATGATAACAAAACTGAATATAAAACACCTAAATCAACATTATTAAAAGCCCCTACAATATCGAAGAAGACACATGCCATAATTTTATTCTGAGACAGAGTATCATGGATGTCCAGACACAAATGGCTTAGACTCTCCCGAGCAGAACGGCCACATCGGAAGCCAAATTGGTTAGATGGTAAGATATAATTGTTTTCTATATGGAATGTCAGTCTTTGTTTTATTAACTGCTCAAAAATTTTACCTACACAAGAGCTGAGTGTGACAGGGCGATATGAGTGAGCAGAATTAGAATCCTTCCCTTTTTTTAATATTGGAACCAAACAATCTGTCTTCCATTCTTCTGGTATAATAGACAGAGACCAAAACAAGTTTAAAATATTTAAAAAAATTTCGAGACTGGTATCATTCAACAGTTTGAACATTTTATATGACAACCAATCTAATCCACAAGCAGTTTCCTTCCTAGAATTTAAAGCAGATTTTAATTCTTGAAGTGAAAATGGTTCTATCATGTAAGAGTTAGTATTATTAACTTGAGTGTCTGGCAGAAGATTGCTATCATTTTGGACAGTATCTGGTGTATATTTGTATAGAAAATCAGAACTCCATTCATAATTGGAAAACAATGTGGTATTAGAGGTAGAACCTTTTAATTTTCTCATTTGAGTCCACACTTGACTCATCGGTGTTAATCTATTAACAGAGGTACAAAATTCAAGCCAAGACTGACAGCGCTCCTGACGTAAAGTGCGTTTTTTTAGGGCTTGCGCCTTTTTGAAGTTAATATAGTTACATAAAGAAGGACTAGATTTAAACAGTATATAAGCCTTTTTGCAATTTTGAACCACTTTAGCACAATTATCATTCCACCAAGGAAGTGTTCTTTTTTTAAACCCTGACAAGTGACCCACCTTATTATGTTTACTATTATTTATACTAGTTATTGAGTCCTGAGCTACTTTATTAATAATTGAACAGAAATTATTATATGATTCCAATATGTTTGAGTTATTGATTTGGAAATTTATCAAGTTATCATTTATGTATTTTTTATATAAATTCCAATTTACTAGTTTCAGATTAATATGTGGAGGAATGTTCGAAGACTCAACAAAGGACACACCATCACTAATGTCAAGAGAATATTTTGTTATAGTCGGCAGATGATAACTGCCTAAGGAATCATTATGTATTGACCACTCACAAGACAAAACTAAGCACGAAGAGACCATAGTGAGATCTAGGCCGTTGGGCCTCCAGATGTGAGAACCTACTGTTGTTGGCATCCCGTTGTTTAAGAGTACTAAACTATTCTCATCCAAGGAATCCATGATGTCTCTGCCTCGAGAATCAGTACTAGAACAACCCCAGAAAGTATGATGAGCATTAAAGTCACCAGCTATAATCAACGGCTTTGGAACACTATGCAAGAGAGAATCAAATTTGTGTTTTGAAAAATTAGCACTACCAGGACTGTAAAAACTTATAATCGAAATAAATTTATTTTTTATTTTTATTTTGATTGAAATATTTTGCAAAGTATCATCATAGAAAGTTTGTAGCTGTTGAAAATTTATACCATTTTTAATGACGATGGCTACGCCATTGTGATCATTTCCACAATCATTTCTGATTATGTTATATCCGCGTATTTCAATTTTTATATTGGGTTTGAGCCAAGTTTCCGATATTAGAGCTATGTGTATATTATTATCATAAAGAAACTTTTGGAACTCAAGTTTATTATTTAGCAAACTTTGTGCATTCCACTGTACAATATTAACACAATTCAGGAATGTGGAGGGGAATTATTTTTATTTAATAGAGTTTCTTTTATTGCACTACTTATTGATTGAGAACTAATACTAGCATTTTCTGTTTTGTTCAATGTTATTACTTTGACAATTGCTTCAGTGATGAGATTTAATGCAGAACTATTTTTTAAAACTAATTCCATTATGTCATGAGTATTTTCTGTTTTATTTAAAGATGGAAAATTATTTGATTTTAATGCATCTGAGTATTTATTTACAGTTTTGTTTTTATTTTCATAAATTTTCTTTAATTTGATTGGGCACTGTCCTGATATCGCTAAATGGTTACCCTTACAATGTATACATATTGCTTTATCTACTGGAACTGTACATTCCTTAAAAGAGTGACCCTCTGTACAAATAGAGCATCTTTGAGCATTTTTACAGAATTTTGCTAGGTGATCATATTTAAGACAACGAAAACATTGCTTTACTGGAGGGATGTATGGAATTACTGGAAGGCGCCACATTTTAATATGTACATAATCTGGTAGGCATGTTGCCGCAAATGTTATTACAACAGTTTGAGTGGGTTGTAATTCGAAACTGTTACTGCTAGTTTTATTTTTACGCATTATACGTCTGACACAAATAATTTTCTTTGAGCTGGACAATGCTTTATAAATTTTTTTATTGGACATATCTATGGGTACGGATGTAATAACTCCAGATAATTCGGTACATCCTGCAGGAATTGAAGCTTTGATGGACTGTTCCCTCAAAAATGTGGAATTATCCATAAATGCATTTGCTAAATTTGGTCGATCAAAAACTACGCCAATTTTAAAACGATTGATTTTTTTTAAGTATTTTATGCCCTTTACAAATCTAGATAGACAACCACTCAGGTACATCATG